CCCAGGACCTTGCTTGAAAAATTTCACTTCACGTTTCTCATCCGTGATCCTCACTCAAGCATCCCTTCTTACTATCGATGCACCATTCCGCCCTTGGACGAAATGACGGGTTGGAACGAGTTCTATCCGAGTGAGGCTGGGTATGACGAACTTCGACGCTTTTTCGACAGTGCGCGGGAGACTGGCTTGGTGCGAGACAGAAATGATGGAGCAGAGAATGGAACAGAGAACGGAATCGAGAATGGGAATATTGTGAATGGCGACGCAAAGGTGCCTGAAGTGTGCGTGATTGACGCTGATGATTTGTTGGACGACCCCGAGGGTATTCTCCGAGCTTATTGCCAGAGCGTGGGGCTTGATTTCCACCCTGATATGTTGAACTGGGACAACGAAGAGGATCAGAAGCGTGCAAAAGCGGCGTTTGAGAAGTGGAAGGGTTTCCATGAGGATGCAATCGATTCGACAGACCTCAAGCCGAGGACTCAGGTGCGTGACGACCCTTGCCTCCTTTCCTCACTTGGGTGTAGAACTGACTCTGGACAGAAGAAAGCAGCAAAGAGCGAAGAACAATGGGATGATGAATGGAAGAAGAAATATGGAGAAGAGGCTGCCCGAATGATTCGCAAAACCGTGGATCGCAACATGGCCGACTACTTGTACCTGAAGCAGTTTGCCCTGAAGCCATGAGGGAGGATATTCTTGGATATCTGACCGGCGCCGTTGCTCTTTTACTGTTGCTACTATGCCCACCAGAATGAATGACTGTGTTTCCGCGTTCTCGAATAGCAGATTGACAGACTGAACAATCCAATTTCCCGTACTGCAGACAAAATTACAACTCAAGGTGCAAGACTCGCTCCGTCGTTCGATCCGAATGGAAAATTCTTTTCAGGCTGCAGACACGACGTCACCAACAGTGACGGGTGCACTAGCAACTAACAAGCCATTTATAGGCTCAACATTTACCGATTGGGATATGGCGACGATGTCATCCGTATTGGGGGGTAATCGAAAGGGGTAGTGGGCTGTGGGTGGTCGATACACAGCTAGCGGACTCGGTTAAAGAGGAAAATTCAGATACCTGAAATACTCAGGGAGATGCAGGACAACAATACTTGTGATCCTTCGGTGTCGTCTGTCTCTCATTTCACCCTCACCTTCACCTTCACTTTTTGGCTCCAATTCGTTTCCCGCGGTTCGTTCATAACGAGCAGATCTAAAAATGCTATTTGGTGACAGAGACACCAGGGCCTGCTTAACTTTTTTGTCCATCTCGCTCAGACCAGATACTCGAGTGCCCGAGTGCTTCAGTGGCCTGACGAGTGAGAATAATGGGGTGATAATGGCCAGAGGCTGCTGGAAGACACCGGGAGGTACTTTTTGGGAGGAGAATTGACGAGTAGCAGCGCCTGTGACTAGGCGAAGCTCCCCGCAGCCGCCTACTGGAGCTTGCTGCTGCCAGGGCATTCACGGGCTTTCTGGAACATGCTAGTCTTATGTCACAGGTCGCGCTCCACTTTGGGCGCTGGTCCCGAGTACAAGAGTCACTGTATTATCATGCCTTCACATCTTCTACGTCTGTTGGAACTTCTTCCACATTGCGTTACACGAAACTACGCACAATCCTAAACACAGTAAACGTCACTGAACGATGGCGGGCGTGCCTCAGTTCACTGATCGGGCCGCAAAGGCTCTCGGCGACGCTGCAAACCTCGCTGAACAATATGCCCATTCTCAGATTCTACCAGTTCACCTAGCAGTCTCTCTGTTTGACCCTCCGCCCGACGAGTCCAAAGATCAACAGACTACAGTCAACGCCTCACAAGCTCACGCTTCGGCTCCTCTCTTCCGGCAAGTCGTCGAAAGAGCACATGGCGACATCCAGTTACTCGACAGAGCGCTCAAGAAAGCTCTTGTGCGACTCCCGAGTCAAGATCCTCCGCCTGAACATGTCACCATGTCGCCATCCCTCTCAAAGGTCATCAGGTCCGCTCAGGAGCTGCAAAAAACACAGAAGGATACCTATGTGGCCATTGATCACTTGATCACCGCTCTAGCGCAAGATCCGAAGATCCAAGAATGCCTGAAGGAGGCAAACATCCCGAACACCAAGCTCATCGACTCCGCTATTCAGCAAATACGTGGCACGAAGCGAGTCGACTCCAAGTCGGCCGACTCCGAGGTGGAAAATGAGAATCTCAAGAAATTCACAATCGACATGACACAACTGGCAAGAGAAGGAAAACTCGATCCCGTCATCGGACGAGAAGAGGAGATCCGGCGGGTGATCCGAATCTTGTCCAGGAGAACCAAGAACAACCCTGTCCTTATCGGTGAGCCCGGTGTCGGAAAGACCACAGTCATCGAAGGTCTGGCACAGCGGATCATAAATGCGGATGTCCCTGCAAATCTCGCCGCGTGCAAACTGCTCTCTCTTGATGTGGGCTCCCTTGTTGCTGGCAGCAAGTATCGTGGTGAATTCGAGGAGAGAATGAAGGGTGTTCTCAAAGAGATCGAGGAGTCCAATGAGATGATTGTTCTCTTTGTGGATGAGATCCATCTGCTCATGGGCGCTGGCGCCAGCGGTGAAGGCGGCATGGACGCCGCAAATCTGCTCAAACCCATGCTCGCCCGTGGACAGCTCCACTGTATCGGTGCCACCACTCTTGCCGAGTACCGCAAGTACATCGAAAAAGATGCGGCTTTCGAACGAAGATTCCAACAGGTTTTGGTCAAGGAGCCCACCGTGGCAGAGACAATCTCCATCCTTCGTGGCTTGAAAGAGCGATACGAAGTCCACCACGGTGTGACGATTCTGGACGGCGCCATTGTTGCCGCGGCCACTCTTGCCGCTCGTTACATCACGTCTCGGCGGTTGCCCGACTCGGCCGTTGATCTTATCGACGAAGCAGCAGCAGACGTTCACGTCGTGCGAGAATCGCAACCCGAAGTACTCGACAATCTTGAACGACGACTCCGGCAGCTCGAGATCGAGATTCACGCCTTGCAACGGGAAACGGATCCATCATCCGCTCAGCGTTTGGAAGAGGCCAAACGTGAAGCAGCCAACGTCAAGGAAGAGCTAGAACCGTTGAAAGAGCACTACGAACGGGAGAAAGCCCGCTCCCGAGAGATCCAGGAGGCCAAGATGAAGTTGGAACAACTGAAGAACAAGAGAGACGAAGCAGAGCGTTCCAACGATCTGCAGACAGCCTCTGATTTGACATATTACGCCATCCCTGATGTAGCTGCCAAGATCAAGGCCCTTGAGAGCGCCCGAGCTCAAGCGGATGCTGAGCAGCATGCCAGACTCGGTGCGATGGGCGAGGTTTCCCCGACCGATGCAGTTGGCCCCGAACAAATCAATGCCATTGTGGCCAAGATGACCGGCATCCCCATCACCAGACTGCGTGCTTCCGAGAAGGAGAAGATTCTTCACATGGAACAGCATCTGCAGCGCATCGTGGTTGGACAGAAAGAGGCAGTCCAGTCTGTCTCGAACGCCATCAGGCTCCAACGTTCTGGCTTGGGCAATCCCAACCAGCCGCCGAGCTTTTTGTTCTGTGGTCCTTCGGGTACCGGTAAGACGCTGTTGACTAAGGCGCTTGCCGAGTTCTTGTTCGACGACCCGAAGGCCATGATCAGGTTCGATATGTCGGAATATCAAGAACGACACTCACTTTCGAGGATGATTGGTGCACCTCCCGGATATGTTGGACACGATGCTGGTGGGCAACTCACAGAGGCACTACGACGTCGGCCGTTCTCTATCTTGCTGTTCGATGAGGTTGAGAAGGCCGCCAAGGAAGTGCTCACTGTCTTGCTCCAACTTATGGACGACGGCAGAATCACTGACGGCCAAGGTCGTGTTGTGGACGCCAAGAACTGCATTGTGGTCATGACGAGCAATCTTGGTGCTGAATATCTGTCTCGCCAGAATGCACCTGACGGAAAGATCGACCCGACGACCCGAGAATTGGTGATGAATGCTCTGCGGAACTACTTCTTGCCCGAGTTTTTGAACAGAATCAGCTCGATCGTCATCTTCAACCGGCTGACTAGGAGAGAAATCCGGAAGATTGTCGATCTGAGACTGGCTGAGATCCAAAAGAGACTCGAGAGCAACGACAAGAAGATCGTCATCAATGCAAGCGAAGAGGTCAAGGACTACCTGGGTGCTGCTGGTTACTCGCCTGCCTATGGCGCCCGTCCTCTACAAAGATTGATAGAGAAGGAGATCCTCAACCGTTTGGCTGTGTTGATCCTGAGAGGTGCTATCAAGGATGGTGAGACGGCCAATGTCGTCTTGGAGGATGGACGGGTTGTGGTATTGCCAAACCACACCGACAGTGAGATGGAAGAGGATGAAGATATGCTTGATGACGAGGACGCAATGTTGGAGCTAGAGGATGGTACGAACGGCAACATGGACCTTTACGAGTAGAGTGGCCAAGGTATTGCATATCGCATAGCAAGTCCCAAGGCGTTGAATGGCGGAACGAGTACATGACATTGCTTCAAAAGCGGATGGCGTTAGGCTGGGAATCCCTTATGGATACTGTCATGGAACGACCGATTACGGATTGAAGAGAAATGGTGAATGAGATGCTCTTAGACCTGTAGTAGACATGGTCTTGAATGGAAAATACTATGCCTTCAACCTGCACCATGTTTCTCTCGCAGTAGATTCACTGACAATTGTCGCTAGCCGTGAAGAGTGAGATTTGTACTCAAGTCGCGTCTGAGACGCGCCAACTTATGATGTCATTTCGGGAGCGCGTCGCCAGCATAAATCCGCCCAAATTGTCGTCAGATTCGCAGGAACACTCAAACACTGGCAGTGGCGTTCAAACATACACAGATATAATCGGCAGTTCAAGTCGAGAGGTCTCATATACAGAAAGAACAAATCCTTCTGGCCTCCGACGATACGAGCACGACGCGAGGGCCGAGTCCCAATCGTCCTCCTACGTCCGAACAGTGCATTTGCAGACGGAGACATGGCGCCCTTTACAGTGTCCAAGAAATCAAGAAGCGCATTTTCACCGCCTCGGCCGGGGAGGTCAAAGAATACCAAATCGACGAAAGAGAAGGGCGCAAATACAAAGAACGCAGCCAGAGATGGTTTAGGCGGAGTGGGAAACTCAAGAGTCCACAAACAGCAGGGGAAAGCCAAGGTAGGACAGAGCCAGAAGCGATCACGAAAGCCGAATCGAAAAGATGCAGCGGGGACGATGAGGGCCATTCTAGGAGAGGCAAGCCCAGATTCCGACCCAGAAGACGAGGATGAAGACCACGAGACTATGGACGCCGCGGTCGACGAGGATGAGAATCTTGAAGATGAGGACGACGACGACGACGACGACGACGACGACGACGACGACGACGACAATGATGATGATGACGACGATGACAATGCACAAGAAGGTGAAGACGAAGAGGAAGCCTCCCTGGCTCCGGACCCTGATCTCAATATATCTTCGCCCGAACCCGATTTCATTCTCGCCGAAGTCACAACGAAACCCAACACGAGTTCAACATCTGCCGCTGCGGATCCCGCTATACCTCTGCCGCTCATACACAGGATAATGCACACACATTTCTCATGCCCTGAGCGGACGTCTCTCTCTTCCGATGCGAGACACTTGATCGGGAAATACGCCGAGATCTTCGTTAGGGAAGCGATCAGGCGGTGCGTGGATGACAAACGAGAGCGTGCCGCGCACGGCAACGGCAACGGGAGTGGAGCGCGCGACGGTGGTGTTGTGGTAGGGGATACGGGGTGGCTTGAGGTCGAGGACCTAGAGAGGATTGGCGTACAGTTGTGTTTGGATTTCTGAACTATACCGTCAGTCCGCTAGGATGAATGGGCTACACACAGCAATCGCAACAGCGACAGCAGCAGAACGAGCGCCATATCACTACTTTCGGTCTTGGGAAATCAAAAAATGGAAGAAATTTCCCTCACAAAGAGTCATGACCTCAGGCACAAGAGAGGACGCTATATGTATATCCATCCATCCATCCAAATGCCGGGTACGAGTGCCAAAGGCCTCCCACACATCCTGCATACCTACCTAGCTATCTATCGCAATGTGCTACAATGTACGATGTCCAGGGTGTATCACCATGCTCTACACGTCATCTTCTTCGCCGCCGCCATCATAATGATGCGACGCCACCGTAAGATGGAGTACCTACATACATACATACTGTACAGACATACATGCATGCATGCACAGAGTGAGAAAACGCAAGTCGAGATGGGAGCTTACCTGCTTAGAACCAAGCTCAAAAACTATTAAAATAATGGGAGAAAAAGAGCCGAGATGTGGCAGACTTTTTATCCATCCACAGGAGATGACTCAATCCTGGGGGGTATTGATTGATCTCTCCCTCTATATATAATATACCTTTCTGCGTCTTTCTGGCAGTTACATAGCGTAGCTAGCTTAAGCTTGGTGGTATCAAAAAAATAACTGGGTTTGAGTAAAGAAAGCAAATAAAAATGTCGTCCACAGCCACTCCCGACTTCAATTCATTTCCTTGGACTCCAAAAATCCAATACAATCCTTCCCCTGCCAACAATTTGCGGCCTATATTGTCTCGACTCAACCTCGGACCTTGCGAGGGAGTTCCAGAGACATGCTGCCTACCTTCTCCAAACGACACCAGAAGCGGCAGCGTGAGATTCTTTCCACTTTGCGCCTATTTTTTTTTCTCATGGGGTATATCCACACTCTCAATTCATTGAAGTATTACCACAAAGCCAACAGCGCACCGAGAGCAAGACCAACCACGCCTGTCGACGATTGAGGTACAAAGCCAGGAACAGCCGCACCAGTAAACGTAGCAGGGGCCACGACTGCTGAGCTTGAAGGTGGGGCAACGGTCTGCTCTGGAGCAACTGGAGAGCTTGCCGGAGGTGCACCACCAAAAGCGAATGTCGATTCAGCTGACGGGGAAGCGGCAGGAGGCGGTGTCGACTCAGAAGGTGGTGGAGAGCCATAAGCCGGAGGGGAGCCACCGCTGGGAGGAGGCGTGGTGACATTAACGAGTGGTAACTTGGCTGCGTTCGCGATGTAGGCGTCGATAGTGTTGGGCGAAGAGTCGTTCTGGTTGATGACCATAGCCATCCCCTTTTGACAGTGGTTGGTCTGGCCGCAGTAAATCCAGATGGGTTTGGTGTCGTTAACCAGAAGGTTGTAGACGGGCGTAAATGGCTCGGAGCCGGTGAGTGGGACGAAGCCAGATTTCTGCCCGGGGCGAGTGGAAGAGGTGAGGTTGGCGGCGATGGGCTTGCAAGGCTCCGCAAAGGAGGATTCCGTCACTGTGTGGTTCTGCGCAAATGTTAGACCGCAGAGCCACGAAACTGGTGCAGAAGACATACCTTTGGGTGGAACTGGAATTGGACAACAGATCCGACCGGCGCGGTGATTTTATTGGGGAAGTACTTCAGAGAGCCGTTCGCGTCTGAGACAGAGACGACTTGGACGATCAATTGGCCTGGTTGAGTCTGCATCGGCGGTGCGCTTCCGGTCTGCATCGGTTGACAGCCAGATGGGCATGACGCAGCAGCAAATGCTGGAGGTCCTTGACCACTGCCGCTGCCCCAACTACTCCATCCACCGCTACCACTACCGCTGTCGGAGCTACCGCCACCGTAATTGCCACCGTAACTGCCGCTGCCACTGCCGTACCCTGCGAGGGCCGACGCCGCGAAAAGGGTTGAGAAGAGAAGAGTCTTAAGAGACATGTTTGCCGGGATTTGGTTGGGAGAGTGATAATATTTGATATTGGAGGTAAGACAGTTGGGATGGTGCGAGGCAACGAGCGACCGGCGCAAGGCAAGAACAGAAAACTGCGATGCGTCAAGCAGCAGGAAAGGAATGAACAGGACCGGTACTAGAAAGTACGCGACACCAAATTTTTTTTTGTATAAGGATGGAATGGAGAGAAGAAAGAAACGCATTTCGAAACAGCACCACAGGAGACATATGTAGGCCAGCCAGAAAGCGGGAGGCTGTGCAAAGGACGGAAGAAGCGAGAACCCGTATCTGGGACTGAGATTATGGATCTGGATAGGCCAGGGATCTGGCACTCCCAGAGTCTCGTCACCTTGTCATGTTGGCCCCTGGAGGAGGTTGAAGACATTGTGGACGAGTCGTCACACATCCGTCTCAGATGGAGGGGATAGCTGAGACGCGACGGGCGAGAAAACCCCCGAAGAGAGCCGCTGAGAAGCAAGGAGGCCAGCGTCAAAGTGTCCATGGCTAGGAACAGAGTCACAACGGAGGCGCGAGAAGGGAGGAGTCGAGTGTCGCAGAGTGAGAGGTAAGAAGAGAATCCGAAGCGCTGGGAGGTTTTGAATGGTGTTTGAGGCAGGAGACGGAGCGCTATTCTGAGGCACAAGACGTTTCCAAAAAGCGGAGGGCGCTTTCCTATATATGGCTAGCGCCCTCCGTCTTCTTGGCACTTGGCTGCCCGTCCTTGCTCCTCCAGGCTCCTCCTTTATTGCCTCCCTTGGACACTCATCTCACTTGTATCTCGTTTACCAGCCATGTCCCGACCTCATACAACTCGCTAGTTACGCGGATCTTGCAACCTCGAGACTCACAGACCTCGAGACCTCGATCTGGCCCTGATTCTCCTCGTCTAAAAAGCTTGTCTCCGGCTCTACCCATGTCCCTTGATCTGGGGGTTGCCACCTCGGGCACCTGCCTTCCGAGTTTCAAAGCGACAAATAATCAGAGGCATCAAGACTCAGCCACTCTTGCAGGGTCATCGACGGGACCAAGTCTGAAGTCGGAATGTTCCTTACCGAAAGTGCAGTTGACGTACCTGTCGACGGACACGCTTGACTGTAGGCTCAACCTCCACTCTCGTCTTGGTGCGGGTAGACCAGCCGTGCTTCTAGATAGCTTGGTACATAGGACATGTAGCTTGGATGTTCAACTTCTGTTCGATTATGGCGTACCCTGTACTCCCGCACTGATTTGCTCGACCGTTACCTCGTACACTCTGCTACCTTCTGCTTTCGGAAGCCCTTTCAAAACTGTCTCCCCTTTTGAAGGATGCAAAGGCTTTATTTTGGCAAAGCCTTGAATGACAGATGTTCTACAGGACATCCATTTCCTTCGTAATCATACATTCTCTCTCAAGCATTATCAGTACACTGTAAACAGACCTGCCATGACAACCTCATGCCCCTTTGGCGTTGACCTTGAGCGCCTGGACCGGAAACCTAAGCTTCAAGTACACATTCCGTACTAACTCCCCCTTTCGCGGCTTGGGCAGTGTGCAAGGGCCTCTCCTATCAAGTAGATCGCAGGATGTCAGGCAACCATCACACGACAGTCACCACAAGGCTCAAAACCACTGATGCCCGGCTAGGTCATAGTGTAGCCACTGGGTGGTGGTGTAGGAGCGATAAAATCCCACTGTCCGGGAGGCAGATTGCTACGGGTGTTGGTGGGAGTTGGGGTATTGTAGTTTGGACTTTGAGGCTGAGAACCCTCCTGCATGTTAGTCAAAGCAGGATCAACCTCATCATCAGCCTTTCTCTTCTTGGGTGGTCGACCACGAGGGCGGAGGGGGTTGGGCGGATCAAGGACGTATTCTTCTTTGAGCTGCATGGAGACTGCTGGATCGTAGCCGCGTTCGCGCGCAAGTCGTCGAAGGCCAGCCATCACCTTCGGATCCATGCCAGTGATTTCCTGGATTCGGTCGTACGAAATGCTTGCCTCTGCCAGCGCCAACGCCTGAATGCGCACAGCAGTGGTATGATCGCCCATTTTGAAAACCTTTGGGGCCTTCACCTCGGATGGCTTTTGCGCCCATTCCGCGTTTCTGAAGAATGCTTGAGGATCGGCGGCTTGGCGGGTAATGCTGTTCTCGATGCCTTGCTCTTTCATCGCGTCAAGGTAGTTTTTGCAATTGAGAAGGTGGACACGTTGGCGAGAGGTGTGCTGAGCCATCTCTCGGCTGCAGTATTTGCATCGTACCTGCGCCAGCTTCTGAAGGTGCTGTTAGCGAGAACATTGGGCAAAAACATGATGCGCACCCATACCTGCGTGCCCTCCGGGTCTTGAGGGATGATGTCCCATGCTGAGTGAGTTTCAGTATCACCTGGCTTGTTTTTGTATCCTCCTGACTGGACGGGGTTGATTAGCCAGCGTCGATGATGATGGGAGTCGAATAGGAACTTACGCCTGGGCCGCCCATTGTGAACTGAAGGGCACTCGAAACTCGAGAATGACAACGGTAGTGATCGTCTCAGCTGTGTAATTTTGGAGGTCTGACTGGTGATAAAGAGATGGATGGGGCTGATGGGCGGGAGCTGATGTGGGTAGAGGGGAAAGTGGTTTGTCAAGTAAGAGCGAAGAGAAATGTCATTTCAGTTGTCATTTGAGCGTCCGTGATTTCCCGACTCGCCGACTGCGGTCCATCTGTGGCCCAAGACCCAAGACCCAAAACAGTGCCCTAGGCGCGTCAACACAACAAATACGATATCATCATCGCGACATAGTTACTTTCGTCCCCTCCGCTGTTCGGAGGCACCGTCATGGCCGACTCAACGCAAGCAGCGACGTCGCTCTTGACCGAGCATCTGCAGTATACGCCTTTGGTAAGTCATTGACTGGAGAGTGGAACCAGCGTGGCTGACGAGCCGCAGTCGCTGATTGACGACATCATCAACTCAGTCAATAACTTTGTTTACCAAGGAGTCGGTAGCTTGGAAATAGGACTGTTATCGACACCTCCCGAGAAGCTCGGCTTCAAGGCCGTCAAGGTTGTCAACGACGAGGGCGCGGAAGAACTGGAGTTCCCCGAGGCAAAA